ACGTCAAAATTAGAGTACTTTAAATTACGAAGGTTTAAAATGTATAAACCGTTAAAAATCATCTAAAATTAAATAAAGTTTCATATATGTGGTAAAGAAATAGAGAATAAGCTAAAATTAAGGATATGTTTGAAATTACGAGGTAAAACGAAGAAAGTAGTTAAAAATTAAATGAAAATTTGTACATATTGTGAAAATCTAGCAAATTAGTTAAAAATTCAGAGTATTTGAAATTAAAAACATTAAAAAGTAAAAAGTTAAAATTTACATCAAAGAAGTAAAAGTAGGTATTTGATCTGAAAATATAGGAATTGTGTTAAATTAAGACTATATGGAAATTTGAAGTTAAAATGAATGAAAACATCAATAACTTCATGTATGTGGTGAAAAATATAAATGGTTAAGAATTAGAGTACATTGAATAGTAGAAGGTTAAAATGTAAAAAAAATGTAACATCTAAAATAAAGTAAGGTCATCTTATGATCAAAATGCTGATATAGTAAAAACAGAGTATGTTGAAGATCGCTAACTTAAAAAGAGCAAAAAAGTTGCAATTGCATCTAACATTGAATAAATAACACATAAAATGCGTGTTTTAATAATTACTTGTAAAATATACAGGTAGTTAAAAGTATGATTAAAGGAATTCGGGGTAAAATAAATTTAATACTAAAAATTAATAATAAGCTTACGGAAAGTAAATCTGGTATTATGAACATAAGATTTAGGAAATAAGGTAAAATCTGAGTATATAGGGAATCTTAAAAAAATTACATCTAAAATTAAGGCTTTTCTGAATTAACATAAATTCGAAAATAATCGGCGGTCAAATGTACCTAAAATAACCATCATATACTTAGTAAATAGCTGGAATACAAAGGAAAATATAAAGTCTAAACATGGATTAACAAAGAACCACCGGAAAATCAATAAAAGATAATCCCTTATCAAAGTGTGACGTCATCTTATCAGTTAAATCAAGTATCCCGAAACATTCCTACTTATCTGCTGCGCCTCTGAATTTGCACCGCGCACCGCCTCCTGTTGCTGAACTGTCCGTTTCCCACTACTCGTGTCAATGAATTATTTATACTGTGACTCTGATGCAAAATACAAATAGATATTATAAGTTTTACTTTCTTCGGCTGATTTCATTTTGTAATTTTTTTACACTTTTACATGAGAAAATACTGCATAGCGTAGTAAATCTTTTATTAATCTAAGTAATTTTAAATTGGATGAAAATAAAGTTCATAGTTAATGTACGTAATATTGTGGGGATGAAACTTAGTAACATACCATATGTTTCCTTAAAACAAAACTAAATACAAATTGTAAGTCATTAAACATTGATTGAATCTTAAATGTTCTGCAGATCTCTACATAAAAACAATTCAAATTAAATAAAATTGAATAAGAAGCATTGTATCGAAAAGCACTGAGGGTGGAGAATAGAATTTGCACGATTGAATTTCTATTAATTTAATAAATTTGATTTATTTCTGATAAGCATTTTCTTAACAAAGGCTAAAATTTAGAAGCAAGAGGGGTGATCTACTGATCGAGGGAAGTGACGAAAAACTGGGAAAGTTGGCAGTTACTTACAAGTAACATAAAAAAAAAAAAAAAAAATTAAGTCAATTCTTACTTAGGTCAACAAAGAAAAATTTAACAAATAAATCAGGAATAAATAGGAACAGGAAAAACAGGAATAAATAAGTAGAAATTGACTTTAATATGTGAAAAAAAACTCGTCTGCATCGCATCACTTACTGGATTTGCAACGACTGTTGCACAGATCAACTTTTCATTCGATACAAAATCAGCTTCCCAGCATAAAGAAGGTGCACATACGTACACTGGTGTGCAAAAATTAAGGACGAAGTCGAAAAATTAGCATATCAGCTGAACGAAGAGGCAGAGCAGACAGAAAGACCAATCAGGAGATTAAGTAAGGTGATGTACGGTAGCACATGCGCAGATATGCAGGTAGACGTAATGGGGGAGTGTCCTGAGTATATAAGCTGTTGTCGGTGTAAGCTCAGTATTTCTGGCAAAGAGATTGCACCGCCGTATAGCAGTTAAATCACACCGAGTTGCTGCCTCAGCGGAAATGGCGATAATCAATCTGTTAGATGACATCTGGATGCTTTTCCCGAGTCGAATATTGGGAAGTTGGAGGAAGGCCTCAGTGTGACAGTGTGGCTGCAGAGTTCGGAATTGCTCACAGCATCGTTTCACGACTTTGGAGACAATTTCAAACTACAGGAACAGCTATCTGGAAGTTTAGTAGTGGTCGTCCACGAGGAAACCACACCCGCAGATGACCGGTATATTGCCTTACAGGCCAGAAGAAGAAAGAAAGGCGGCAGACAGCGGGAGAAATCGCTAGCAACGAACCAGGCGACTGGACGACCAATATCGCGTTTTACCGTGGCCAGAAGACTGACGGTGGTGGTCTGTTTGCACGACCCTGTACAGTGTGTACCTTAACGCCTGCCCATCGGAGAGCGTTCTCTGTGGTGCCGGAACACCGGAATTGGAGAGACAAATGAATGGGGGACGAGTACTCTTTACAGATGAGAGCAGATTCAGTCTGAGTAGCGATTCTCATCGATACTCATCTGAAGAGAGAGGGGAGCCGCAATCATCCTTCGAACATCATTGAAGGAACGTATGGAGGTGGCGGTGTTCTCGTTGGGGAGGCATCATGATTGGTAGTCGTACAGACCTTCACATCTTCGACACAGGTTCAGTCAACGGGACTCGTTATTGTAACGAGATTCTTCTTCCATATGTGCGTCTTTTTAGAGGCTCTATGGGTCCGCAGTTCCTTTTCATGGACGACAATGCACCACATCATCGCACAGTAGCTGCCCAGCATGGGCAGACGCTGTGAAACCTGCCTAGCAGTCAGGGGAGATCATATCCCCTATTAAAGACCGGATGTTTCTTTTTGGACACCCATCACAGGGATGTTTTGGCCTTCAGTCGCATTGCGCTCCATGCTACTTTTCAATAAAGCTTCTTTTTATCCCTCTGATTTTCTTTTAGTAAGTGTGCTTACATTACTCATGTCCTTACATATTGGGGATCTTACGGTATTAAATGTGTTGATTTGGAAAGCTTTTGTACAAAGTTATATTGAAAAAACCGTCTCGTCCCTAATTTTTGCACACCAGTGTATATTCACGTGTCTTGGTCATTGAAATGAGATCATAGGGCATTTCATTATGTCCAAAGTCTTCATTTTCTTTATTGCAACCAGCTGCTGAAGCACAGTAGAAGAATAGAAATTAAGTTTCTCTCTATCATACAGACACTTTGTAAGTGGTCAGTTTCCAAAGTTTGCTTCAGAAGATCATCTATAAAAGAATGCTGTCGATGTCCATACGTTGCATCTCCTAAAGATGTACTGATTGCATAAACTTTGCAAACTAACAAAAGTGATCAAAATCGTAAAAACAACCTTGTATTTAGCGTAGGTATAATGAAACACTCAATCGATTTCGAGGGCAGCTAAAGATCCCTCCTCATCAGGAGAAAGAAATACCTAGAAAGAAGAAAATAAAGGAGAAGGAGTCAACCGAAACACGTGGTCCTTATCAGCACTGCACGTGGTTATAACTAGATTTTAATCAGAGTTGCACTGGCCGCCTACTTTTACTGAGCCAGGCTATCTGATCAAACATAAAGGACAAGAAAAATTAGCGAAGTTAAAATAGGGAGCGAGGGGCAAATGCACCTTACGCTCAAAATCTGAACTTCAAATAATGGAAAGCAACCACTGAACGGATTTTTATACCCTCTGGTAGTACCAAACGCGAGGAGGTAACGCCATCTATCGGCAAAAATAACTGACTTAAGATAGTAGAATTTTAAAGGTATTAGGAAGGACTGGATTGGACTTCAAATCATTAACTAAATCTGCTAAATCTTTGTGAATGTGAAAAGCCTCAAGAAAATCCAATTCTCCTATGGAAGAAGCCTTTTGGATAATTTTTGCAGACCCAAAATCAAAATTATGGTTAAAAGTCCAACTACGATACGCTATTGAAGACTTGTTAATTTCGCCTTTTCAAACGCCTAACAAAGGTGAGCTATCACTGCTCACTCTCAGTTATGCAGAATCCATACCTCACTTTGACAATTTATTGCAACCTCATGACCAAATCACCAGTGTAACTTACGAGTATCAGCCATGTATCTACCAACTACAAGATCTCATTTACGCAACATCAACAGTTCTTACGTACCTGAGAACTAATGTAATATTGAAAACAATGTGTGTCACTTCTAACTTTAAATGAAATGGCCATTTTAAATGCTTTAATGCAATTTCTTTTAGATTATGTTCTAATTTTATGTGCCTACTTCCACATTTTAATATAATGGTTCTAGAGCAGAATGCCTGTGCTGCTATTTTATTGTATATTTAAGTTGTCATATTATTGTTTATGCAGATTCCCTTACGTTTCCACGTCTTAATTATGTTTTAGATTAAAATCCTGATATGTGCACAGTTAATTTTTACAATTTGAAAATTTTTCAGACTGATGATCCAAAACGGCGCCTTTCCGTGCAAGATTTCGTCACAAACGAAGAGGAAGGCAATTCAGGACCCTATATCAATTACCGAGAGGTATTTGCCAGGTTTGAACTCTCTCCGGGACAATATGTTATTATTCCTGCTACCTTCGAGCCACATCGGCAAGGATCTTTCATGATTCGCGTTTACACTGATTGTCCATTTGATCTCAGGTAAGTATTCCTCATGTATATATATTATATGAAAAGTTCTTGAAAATTCTGCTACTAAATTATTGAAAATTAGAGGAAGATTGATTGGAATTTGTAAAATTTCAGTAACCACATGCAATATTCCATGTGACTAACCACGTTAACCATGTCATATCCTAATTTATGGTTGACATGTTCACTAATCACATATCTTATTCCAATTTGTGAATATTTTAATACTCTGGTTTGAAATCAGTACTAGAAGTATCTACATTTTAATATAAAGTTATAGGGATAATTAAGGAGACAGTAAAATGATACAAGTTCCTTTATTTACTTGACCACCAAGTTCTCATTCACCCAGATTTTGCTTCAGGGATGCTATGGGAAAAAAAAAGAAAGAATTGTTTTACTACCATTTTAAAATACTTTTCTCACATTAACAAAATAAGCAATGTACACTGCCCTCCAAAAGTTAAGGAACAGCATGTTTTTGTATCTAATTTGAGAACGAAGCAACATAGAAACAAGAAATTTACAGGACATGTTCACTAAAAAATTCTTTAGTGAATGCGACATACAATGTTTCTAAAGTTCAACACAAACACGAGTTACAACAAAAAATTGCACACTTGGCAGAGAAATCCAGTCTTGAAGAAACAGTATATCACAGTTTTTGTAAAGAAATGGGGTGGTAACATTAGAAAAATGGTTTCTAATAAGGAATGTGTCCACCCCTAGCTGCAATACATTGACAGCAGAGACGTTTCATGCTGTCAATTAAGTTGTCGGTCAGAGAAATGGGAAGCAACGACCAGACACGGAATAATCCTTGTTCAAGCTCATCTAACGACCTTGGAGGAGGTTTTAAAGCAGCCTTCTGTCTCCTAAGGTAGTTCTAAATATGCTCGCTCTATCGGATTCAGGTCTGGGCACATAACTAATCATTCCATCTGCTCTATACTGTGACCCTCCAGGTATTCTTCAGCAACCCGAGCTCGGTGCAATCGCACATTGTCGTCAAAAAAAAAAAAAAAAAATCGAAGACCAATACCAGCGGCATATGGGCGGGCATATTGATCGAAGATCTCGTCTCGATATCTCACACCAATCAAAGTTCCTCCATGGAACACGGGCAGGTAAGAGCGACCACCGAGAGAAATCCCAGCCCAAACCATTATTCCACCACCTCCGTTAACTGTGTCTTTCCATAACGTTGGATTGGTTGTATTTGGTGCGTTGTTCACTTCAGAACAGCTGACAACCTGAATCATTCTCCAATTGAATCTGGTCTCGTCTATGAATAGAACAGACGCCGATTTTGACTGGTCCAGGAGACGTGTTCTCTTGCCCATCATAAAGGGGCACCTCTGTGTCCTCGCGTCAAGGGGACACAAAGAACTGATCGTCTTGCATACAGATCTGTATCGTGCAGGCGTTTGCGCACTGTAGTAACTGAGATTTTTGTTCCTGTTGCCACTAACTGATCTGTCATGAACTGAGGCACAGTAATGTTACTCCTCCTTCAAGTCGAAAGAGCTAAATAACGGTCTTCGGAAAGTTTTGTAACTCTAGATCTGCCTGGAACATGTCTTCTAGACATAGAATCCTCGGATTTAATCTGATTCCATAGTCGGTGGACCACACTATGAGAGACATTGAGACAACTAGCAGCATAGGCTTGTGGCATCCCCATTTCCATCCATTCTATCATCAACGAATCCACCACCTCAACGAATCGGGCAAACGACTTCTTTTGGACACTGATAGACTGTCCTGGGTATCTCTTGGAAGATCAACACTCGTGAACAAAAATTGTAATTTTTGCATTTTTCTCCAACTTTATAACAACTGAAATAAGTATTCATTTCTATAAAATAAAAGTGGTAGCTATTGTTTTTGCATATATTTTCTTAAACTGCGTTACTGTCATGCACATGAACTGTGAATTTAAACATTTTTGTACTGACATTTTTGTAATGGTGAGCTTTGAAAAACATGTTGTTCCTTAACTTTTGAAGGGCTGTGTACTTTTATATGCGACATGCTGCATATATTCATCAAATGTAGCAACATGAGCCGGTTTGATCTATACAGGAGTTGCTAATTGCTATATCATTAGGCCTAAGTTAAAATCCTTAAGATTATCATTCAAAAATTTTTTGAAAAATTTATAAAAATTATTTTAAAATACAAATTTTAAAAATAAATCATAAAAAATTGGTGAAATTTATTTGGAATGAACCTGAATTTTGAAATGTGAAAGGAAGAATTAAATAAGCTTAATAAAAAAAAAGAGAGATTAATAAATATATACAAACTCAATTAACATTCAGGAGCTGAAATGTTGAGAGCTAATTTTTTAAAAACTGCTTGTGCGATTTTTACAAAATTTGGTAGTTTGGCATAATTTGAGTCATAGAATGGAAATATGGAAACAAAATTGGTATGTTATTTCAGAAAAAGTCCGATTTTGTGTCAAAATACCTATATTAGAACAATGCTATATATAAATCTAATACATATCCTAAGTCATAAAGTCGCGCTTTCGAGACATGAAACAAGTTGAATTTCATCAATCGGTCCAATAGAACGAGAGGTATAGAACTGTCCCCCCTTTTTTTGGGAGGGGGGCACAGTGTACATTAAAAATATGAGTATATAACTAGCAATAAATATACCATGGCATTATGGGAAATACCTATAAAACAGGAAATTTCCTCCGCAGATGGCACCACAATTCAGAACAAATAATCATGCTCTGCATATGGTGCCATCTACAAACAGAGGCATACTGTAGTACATGTACAGGTAGAAAAGGGCGGAACACTTGAATTTCACCATTGGGTCATACAGGTATAGTTCCGCCGCGGAAGGTATTAGAAATATTTTTAATGTTTGTATATTTGATATTTTATAATAATAACCGGGACCATACCTTCAATTTGGGATTAAACAGATAAGCTTATATTTGTCCAACTGAACATGGCTTTTATTGAAATCTTCAATATTTTTTTTTATTGTGATTGCACAGCAGGAGGTACATGTAAAACTGTTGATGGGTGCAATGGTGCCTGCAGGTATAGGGTTGGGAACCCCTGGGTTAGAAGGTAATTTATTTCGATATTTATATGCAAATGTGCTCTTGTCGAATTCCTGTACTATATATTTAGCATTAGGGTAGTCAGATTGTAATGTCTTTCTTCTCATTAGACATAGGATCTAGAATGAACAGCTCTTGGCTAATTAAATGCTAGTAAGAAAGATACTATTGCCCTCCAAATTTTAACTCAAAAGCTATGAATCAGCTCAGAAGATTAATTTGTACATTCATGACATGGGGACCTTCTCTTCCAAAGCAGAAGCATTTTTCCAGACATCAAAATGAAGTCATTCATAATGACCCTAATCTTGATGAAAGTTCTTTTTGATCCTGTGAATCTCTTGAAACCACAATAAAGATTTTGACGGCATAAAAAACTTTAAATCGTTTTAAATTCATAATAAGCTATTCAGATTCCATAGACTGAAATATTTAGATTATGGTAAACCACTTGAAAGCCAGGGAAGCCTTCATTTTCAGGATAAACCTATCCGTATTTTTGTTATACATATGGAACTTAACTAATCTTTGTGTCATTATTTCGCAAAGCAATCTTTAATTTTCAAATTTAATCATTCTGCTACTTTCCTAAATTAAGGAATTTAAAGGCAATAAATATACTTCTTAATAATTTAAATCTTTTACTTTTTTATATCTAATTAACATGATTTAAAACCATGCTTATTTGCATATTTCTTCCCAATTTTTTTAATCACATTATATAGAAACTTCTGATTTATGCTAACAATGTAAAATAATTCCACAAATAGAGATGTACCCGTGTATTGAAAAGTAAAATTTCTGAAATTAATAACTTTAACTGTTTTCTTTGAAATAAAGAATACATGTAATATTACACCTATTCACACATGTTCTTTAACGTGGTATGCTCATTCAGAATGTGGTGTATATACTGAATATTCCCTCTTGATTTCTAAAAGTGAAATTACTAAAAAAAAAAAAAAAAAACTTAAAGCTTTCAAATTTTATATTACGGCCAAAGGGCATTTTTTTTTATTTATTTTTTTTATTTTTTTTAACGTTTTGTATGTTACTTTTATTTATTAAATATCATGTTCTTTGCACTTAAACAATAAAATTCAGTTCAAGAGCAAATATCGCAAAATAGTTTTAAATTGAGCATACCTTTAGAATTTTCCGATACACGAACTCGCATGCTGGAAATAATCCCCCCCCCGTACAGTGTTGCCATTGCTCGCTTTGAAATCGTTGGGTTGTTAATCAAAAATTTGTAAAAGTTTTACAAAATATGAAATAGATAATAAAACAGATGTCAAGTTCGGGCTTCTAGATTCCCATATTCTAATGGAGGAAAACTTATTGAAAATTTGATGTCTCTAGGTACTTATGTTTTTTCGCAGCGTGACAGACATATATACGTTTATGCAGATTCTTCATTATTTAATTTCTTTAAATATAATGACGAGCTTTACTATTTGGTGGCAACAATTTGAAAAGTGAACCGACATTTATAGTGAATCAACGCTCGCTTTAAAATTTTAAATTAAAAAAAAAAAGGGGGGGCAGGAAACACTCAAGAAACACTCAAATAAATATGGTATTTTAATACACCTAAATTATCCTATTTATTATTATAATTACTAAAAGATGTTTCTAACACCATATTTTAATAGTGAACACTTTTTCATCAAGCCAAATTAAGCCAGTCTGGGGCCCTAGAGATGGTACTTTTGAGGAGCCACTCAGCATCTACGTTTATAATAATAATAAACACTACAATGAGAAAATAGGATGGTTTTGGAGCACTAGGGCATGGCCTTCTTATGCCTAGACAATAAGCAGGCCCTGCTCCTTCGAGGAAGGGGTACGATGTGTGAAATTCAGATTGCACTTTAATATATATGTGTATATATATATCTTGTGTTTCAAAAGTAACTTCTATTTTAGGGAACTCAGGTGACTGCGTATTCAGCCGAAGCTTATGAATACATTTTCACAGGAAGCCTTGAAGAATGAAATTGAAATAATTCAGCTACTAAGAAAAAGGACAGTATTCAATATGTGATGTAAGCACATTTCTTCTATGCTCAAATGCAGATTTTAAACAAAGGACATTTTCAGAAATCTGTGCCTTTTTACAACAAATTAAATAATAGAAAGAACTTTTAACGATATATTCGAACAAGTAAACTTTTATGAATATTTAAAATTAAAAGGCATTGAGTGAAATGTAAATTGTGAATTGCTGCAAAGGCCCAGTGTAATGACATGAAGTGGATTTATGTATACTAAATTGCTCAGATGTTTCTAAAATTCATTAAAATCTTCTGAATACATTATTAACCTTTATCTATTTGTCTGTTCTATGCATTTCTAATTTTGAAACAGTAATATAACATAGATAATGTATATAATTGTATAAATCAAATTTAAGTGATATGGAAGGTTGATTTTTATAACTGATTAGACTGGATGTACACTACTATGCATTTCAGAAAATATCATCTCTCTCAAGAAAACTGCTAAATGAATGATAGGAAAATCTTTGCTATTAATTCTAATTTATGATAAAATGTATACTAACAACATTAGAAAATTTCCACATAAACTAAAAATAAATGTAGCCTAGAAATATATTTACATCTGACTCTCTTTAAAATCAAATAAGCCTTGCACAATGCATTTTTATTCATGGAAAAGAAATACTCTTTTATGCCAAATTTCATTTGTATTATACGAGACAATAACAGAACAGAATTTTTTTTTCTATTCTGATTTACAAAAATGAAGCAGAAGGAAAATAGTTTTGCACTCATTTCACTTTAAAGAAAAGCATTTTAGTACCACAAAAGAACTCATAATGTGAAATATTCACTAATTTTATTCATTCATTAGTGGTTTAAGAGTTTTATAAACTACAGGTTTCTTTTTGCTGTCTGATAGAATATAAGTTTCTCTTTCCTTCTTAAAGAAATTGAAGATAAATTGTTCCTTTAAGGTCTCGGTCTATATGCTGGATTTTTCAGACATTATTTTTATTTAAATAAGAGGCTTAATCAGCAATTTATTCATTTTTTAACAATGATTTTTAAAAATCTAGATTTGTTACATAATGTTCAGAAAAATCTAATTAATCATCTTACTTTTTTTAGCAATTGAAACTTTTTCCCCCAATGAGATTTCATACAAAAAGTCAGTCAAATAAATAAAAAATATAGAGAATCACTTAAATTTATGATATAAAAGGCAGTGTCAAAGATTTTAATTTACAATTTCTTACTCTTATCTTCATATTATTAAACCTATGATGATTAACAGTTTAAACAAGCTATATTCAGCCTCTAATGAATAAACACTCAATGAATTCCTCAATGGCATTATCTTCTTGCATTATTTTTTTAACATTAATGTAACAAATATACATGAAAAAAGAAAACTGCAAATATGCTTAAAATTAGCCTTCTTTTGCAGTATGGCTTAAATTAATTCTGGAAAATTTAAAACTTTTTCACCATAACTATATATATTGAAAATTACCAATATTTCTTGAGTTTTGCTAACTCCTTTGTACAACTTCAATGAAATACAGCTGTCCTCTTTTACTTACAAATGCAATTCAACAGATCTTTCAAAGTAAAAGTTCTTGCATATTTCTAGTTTGATAGAGTTTAATTAAGTATCATATATGATTGTAATTCCAACATATGAAACCTTTATAAAGAAAAATTGCTTCCAATACTATAAAATCTTTAAAATTTAGCAAATTTTATAATACATGCTTTTGATAACTATTATTTAAATCACAAACATTTCACATTAATATATAACCTTCATTAAAATTCCTTTTAATTACTGATATATTATCTTGATGTTCATTTCAGGAAAACCTGTGACTGTGAAAAAGTAAAAATTAACATAAGCTCAGAAAATAAGTTTTCCAAAACAAAAATAATGAATGAAGAATACATTCATAATCAATAGCAATGTCTGTCAAACATTCAAAACCTAACCCATAATGTATAAAGAGATATTTCATACCATTTTCTTGCATCGCAATAAACACAGATAAACTGGCATACTGTAAAAATGTTGAACCAGGTTCATATGAATGAAGCTATGTTTTCAAAAGAGACAATACAGAGTAATTATTTCATCTAGAAGTATTTATTTCCCATAAGTGTTATAAAAATTCAGCACATTCCACAGAATAATTTGTAATTTAAAAATGTGTTACCTTTTTAATTCATTACACTTGCAATATTTAATTCATAGATCATATATAATACACTGTTAAAAATGAAGTAATAGAAATGATATTCACAGAGTAAGCTCTAAATTATTATACAAGAAATACTCAACTGTTTGGCACCAGTACATTTCACTAAGGTTTATTTAATAGACAGCATTTGCAACTATAAATTAAAAATGACAGTGATCAAAATGGAGTTTTCACATAAAAATAATAACAGACCTTATTTTTGGAATTTGCTTTAATTACAGTAGAACTCCAGTAATACAGACTCTGGATATCCTCAAATCCAGTTATCCAGATTCATCTTTTTATGCTATAATCAAACTTGTTTTCATTTTATGTGTTTTTAACTTTTCCATTGAGGTAAATAAGATCAGAAAACAAAATATTTTTCTTAAATTAGAAAAGCATACATGATATGTAGAACTTTTATTTAAGATTTAGTGCAAAAGCAATATGTTATGCATTTTGTTTTATAAGAAAAAAATATAATTTAAATACATAAAAAAAAAAAATTATAATTTTTGTTTTTTTTTTGGGGGGGGATAAGTGAAAATTTTATTGATTTATTATTATAATGGAAATAAAAATTGGTTGCTTTAAGACACACAAAAAATGATTTTGTCATTTAATTTTACAGAAAGTAGTAATTTGCATGTTTAACAGAAATTCAAATTTTCCATATTTTTAACTTCATGTTTAGTTAATTAAAATGCAGTAAATGAAAGATAAAATTATCATGCTTACATTACAATAAAAGACATTAGAGAAACTACAGCCAAATTATGATAATTTTCTAAATTACAGTTGGCCTGTAATCGAAGTTATTATGGATATTTGAGGTTCTATTGTATTTTTCAATACCATGCCAGAATGAACTATATAATTAAAACTTATTAACAAAATAATTCAATTAAATACATTACAAAAAATAAAGTATATAAAAAATAATTTATACTTCAATTGAAATAAAAACTGCTTATATAAAATAAACTTGATAGGAAAAAAAAAAAAAAAAAGTTCAGTCCCCCTCCCCCACTCCACTTTGACCACACACTTTTAAGTATAAATCTTTATGAGCCATGTAAAAATACATTAATTAGGGATCAAATATTACAGACTCATAACTATGCAAGATCAGAACAGAAACTGCTATACATAAAGGATTCAAATGTCACACACTTTGCAATAGATACTAAAATGCCTTAAATACCTATTTATATATATTTATATATACATATACACAAACTATACAAAGTGAGATTAAATATCAAAATTTAAATGCATGCAACTTCAAATATACAATTATGTAAATTGTCATAATACTGACACAAAAGAATATAAATATAATTAGTTTTGAATGAGATGAAAACCAAGGAAGCACAAAAAATATGAATATATTATAAAGAACAATGAATATGATAGGAGGAAGCAACTTTCCTTCAAAATGTGGGAACATTTATAAAACTAGAAGTGCAGTTTTCAGAGCACCAAGATGATGATTACAGCGTTTAGAGATACTCAATTGATCTCCAAAATATTTTATACATAGCATCAACATTTAGAGATCCTTAATTTATCCCAAAATGTTAACACACAGTTATACTTCTATGAAATTTGAATAACTTAGTGCCACTGTGAAGCAAGAGAGAACACCAATTATGTATTCTCTCCCAAAATAGAGCAAAATTTCACAAAAAGCTCCCTTGGATTATATCTGGCTATTTCATACAAAATGTTTACTATTTGAATAAACTACAATGTAATACTCAGTATTCTTGAATAAAAAACAAATTTTTTGATATTTTTGAAAAACATTCAAACTGCACAAGATATAAACATTCTGATCAGTATGAGCAAAACACGAATTGATCAATGAATACAGGAAATTCATATTTGAAAAAGTGAGATCATTCATGTGTAAAAAACTATCGCATTAATATATCAGTTCTTATTAATCATAAATCTATAAACAATGCTGATATAAAATTATTACATCCTTTCTACATATTTTTTTAAGAAACAAGAAATGTTAAAAAATTAGAACATAACTGAGAAGGCGATAGTTTTTAAAAAAGGGAAATTTTATTTCAAATAATAAGAGATAGGTGTAAAATCACAATATAACTTGCAAAATTCTATTCAATATAAACCAAATTTCCATAATTAAAATAATTTCTGATTTAACTGTGAATGTTTAAAACAATCTTTCAAATAAATAACAGAAATATAATTTGATATTTCTAAGTAGTTTTTTAAAGAGTTCAGATACAAAATGAAATACTTCAATGCATACTAACAAAAAAAACAAAAAAAACAAAAAAAAAAAAAAAATGCCACATTTTATGCAAGTATGTTATTGTGCTTATGCATGCTCATCAACATTCCTAAAATAAGAAATAAATCATTAAAAATGCTACACTTTTCAATACAGGAAATCTTATTTTTTTATACATAAAATACTGAAATCTTTAATAAATATCCCCACTGAAACATTTATGTATTTAAAGGCAAATTTAAAAGTAATATGAGAAAATATGCAATGTTATACTACCAAGAAACTCTGCAGTTTAAAATTCTGAATAATAAATATATCGCAATTATAAGTTAAAAATGATACAAATAATGATTACTGTTAAAAATTATACAAATCAAAAAATGGATATTGATATGAAACTAAAAGCAGCACTTTGCAGCTGTGTCTTTTTTTAATATTTTTTTTAAAGTTTTGTAATGATTGCTTTTCCTACATTCTGCTATATAAAGAATACTGCCAAAAAAAATGCACTCTTACTTATATTTGTATATGTTACGGTGAAAGACCGAAATCTGGAGAATGTCAACATTCACATAGTCTCTTGGTGTGTGTCCGAAATATTTTCCAAATACTCTTATTTCTGACTTACACCGGTCAATATCGACATTCACCATGTACTAATGGTGAATGTTGAACATATAACAATATTATATTTTCTTCTCCGTAATTCAGTCGCGAATAAACGCACTTGAGACTTGAAATAAGAACTTAAGGACATGTGAACCTAAAACACACAACACATTCAAAATGAGAAAGGAAAATAATAGAAGTTAAAAACTT